CGCAGGAGGGGCGTTGTGGGGCCCGCGGGGCTCCGGGTGGGGCGGGGCTTGGGGCACAGTTAGCCACCTCAGCAGGTCTCTCTGGCCTGGTTCGCAGCCGGGCGCTGCCATCAGTTGGTACGGGAGAGCAGCCCTCGACTCAATGAAGTATAGGCGGTAAGAGACGTCAGGAACTGAGGCCTTTTCCCTTCCCAGGGACCTAAAGTCTGTCCTCCGATTAGGCTAGTTCCCTCTCGGGGAAGACGCACACGTCCTGCATTTACTATCCACCTTTCATTTTAAGCCCCTGTACCTGAACGTTTCTCTTCACATGAGTCTTAATGTGAGAAGCCCATCTCTTTACTCCGTAATTGACAGGTGTTTTGACCGGTTTATCCTGTTGCCTGGAAACTTGAGAGTTTGGGAAACGCTCTGGGCATTTCCCTGATGCTGAGAACGCCTAAGCTACCTCCCCATATCTGCTAATGTGTATAGCTCTTTGCATCTGAAACTCAGGGTTAGGCCCTGCCCTGGTCGGGGGACAGGCTGATTCTTTAGGTTTAAGCCTATTTAGGGCTAATCCAGTGGGAGCTGCCATGCTGGAGGTAGGTATCCTGTTGGGTGTTAATTCTTGGAGGAAGTGGTCCAAAGTAGGATGAGTGCCTATGAGACATGAGGTTTTCTGGTCTTTAATTGTGCACCAGGTCTTCATAATCCTATATATAAGCAACCTGCCACTGTCACAGTGCTTATGTGCGTTATATGAAGACACCCCTTAAGACACCTGTTCAGCTGCTGGAAAACTTATGAGAAATAAGGGTATGATATTTAGATGGGCACAACCTCCAGAGGAAGCAGCTTTGTCCACTGGCAGGTTGCTAACTGGACACCTCTTTGTCCACTGGCAGGTTGCTAACTGGACACAAAGGGCTGCATGCCCTTTGTGTAGGAGGCCTCGCAAAATCTTCTCTCAAGGCTCTCTCCTTTGGGGGAGGGGAGGAGGGAGAGCGAGAACTTTGCAAGTTCTCTAGATGAAGCTAGGATCACCAGATAGTGTCAGGTGGTTTTCTCTAGGCAGGGCTGGGCCTTGGTTAAGGCCTGGGTTTGAATTCTGCCAACTCCCACCAGCTGTGACACTTTAGGCAAGTTACTTCATGCCTCAGGTCATTTATCTGTAAGATGAAGTTAAGGAATAAATGAGAATGCACTTAAAACAGTCCAGGGTCTGGCACAGAGTAAAAGCTAAGAGGAGAACCGTGGGTCAAGCCAGAGTGGTTGTCCACTGCACAGGAGAGAGATGTGACTGATTTGCGCTTTACCAGGAGCCAGAAAGTGAGGACTCTGCCCCTGGTTTACTCACACTACAGACCAAATGATAACAACTTGGCCCTCTGGGACAGAGCTTCCAGCACTGTTCAGTGTGGGACTAATGAAGGACTGGTGTGAAGTAGAAAATACTGGTGATGTCTTGCCATTTTACTTCTGCCCAAGGTCATGTGGCCAGCAAGATGGCCAAATAAGTGTTATCTCTGAATTTGTTTCAGCTATACAATGGGTGTGTTGCCCACTGAGGGTTAAGTGAAGGCCTGACAGGAAAGCTGAGGCCCCCCCAGGCTGATGGGATCTCAGTAGGGGCCCGGCTGCTAGTAACCATGGCCTTGGGTGTGCTGTGAGGGGAACTGCTGGTCGCAGTGCCCGGGCTAGTCATGGCCGCAGTGACACCTTCTCCTGCAGGTGAATGTGGGCTACTGCGCCTTAGGCATTATTGTGATGGCGATCACCAATTCTCTGATGTGGACGTTCTTTAGCCGAGGCCTCAGTTTCTCCATGTCTTCAGCCATTGCATCTGTCACGGTGACTTTTTCAAATATCCTCAGCTCGGTGAGTAGCCTGGTACGGTCCCCCTGTCCCATACCTGGGTCCTGGGTGGGTTGTCCTTGGGTAACCCTGCTTTCCCAGATAGGAGAGAGGACAGGGACTGAAGCAGAGTTTGGGCTGTGGCTTGACCCCTGGTGGCTGCTCCCCTAATCTGTCAAACTGAGGAATTCTCAAGGTGGTTGGGAATGAAGTCTAAGTGTAAAGGCAGCCTGCTTGCTGCTCGTTCAGGCTGGAGCCCTCATTCTGGTCTCTGCACAACCCAGCGGTCTCCCAGGGCCTGTGAACTCCAGCATGAGACACGGAGGGTCTAGGTTCTTCCCTCCGGTGGCCTGAGACCAGCCAGGTGGGCTGAGCCCAGTCTGTCCTGCAGTCAAGGGAGGGAGGACGTGGTAGGTCGGCTTGGGTCAGCGGACACCAGGGACCAGCTGCATGCTGGGCCTAGCTGCCAGCCTCTGCTGGTCTTTCTTGTCCCCTTCGCTGGGGTCCAGTGCTGTGAGGAAGGTATGAGGAGCGTGACTTGACAGCTGGGTGTCAAGCCCCAGACCTGTGACTCCAGATCTTTCCTCCTGTCCTAGGAGGGCGCTCAGCCGCGGGAGGGGAGGTCGGGCGTCCCGGCCTCACCGCCCTCTCTGCCCTGCAGGCCTTCCTGGGGTTCGTGTTGTACGGAGAGTGCCAGGAGGTCCTGTGGTGGGGCGGCGCGCTCCTCATCCTCTGCGGACTGACCCTGACCCACAGGACTCTCCCGCCAGTCGGGAAGGCCCGGCCCCTCAAGCAGCAGTAGCATCACGTGGCGGGGTGGACGTGCCGGAAGGACACATCCCAGGGTGCTCTGGGGGTGCAGGGAGATGCTGCCCACGGAAGCAGGCCTCTGACAAGCAGCTTTGGGGGGCAGCTCCAGCTTCTGTGAGGGGAAGCAAGCTCGGCAGTGTTCTGCTTGAAGCCACCTTGACATCTGCACGCTCACCCTCCCGGGCCCACCCAGCGAGCCTCGGTCCCTGGGGCTGCTCGGCTTCGTGTGTGAACTTGAACCAAGCTGTAATTGTAGTCCTTTGGCCTGACGGGCCAGTCATGCAACACGGGAATCAGCGACTGGGGCGACCTTCCAGGACTTCGCGCTGACGTGTCAGGCTATCTGTGTACGGCAGGAGGAGGTAAACTAGATTGATGCTGATTTTGTAAGTTACAACTACAAAATAAGTATGAAGTAATAAGTGTGGAATCCTGATTCTTTCCTACAGTTTTTTTTTTTAATCTAAGTTTTTGGAGTAAGAGGGAGCAGCCAGGGGGAGCTGCAGTTCCTGGAGTGGAGTTGACGCCCCCTGTCCCCTGCCCCAGGCCTGGGGCCCAGCCGCTCTGTGGCCTGCCGAGCCCTAATGCACGTTCCCGCCCGAGCACATGGTCCCTTCCTGACACCACCCAGGCCGGCGCTCTTCAGAGTCAGGAGGGACTGTCCATTCTCTTGGGCCTCACGGAGAAAAGCTTGACCCCACTTTGGGGACTAGTTTTATTTTACTTATTAGGAAAGAAAACTGGCCTAGAGGTCGCTCCTACCCTGTCATCTCACCTGGGGCCTCTTCTGTCTCTGATTTTCTTTCCCAGATTCTCGTGACTTACCTGTGTCTTAGACCATGTGAATGTAGTTCAGAATCGGTGTGCTGCCTGCACAGCCTCCCGTGCATAGCTGCAAGTGCGACCTCGCCCTCTCCGCTCTCCCATGCCTGGCCACTGGCCTCAGGGCTTCTTCACACATTCTCTGCTTAGGGACATGGGTGCTGGGGGTAAAAGGGTCATTTCCAGGCCGGCTCCCCAGGGCTTCTTCACACATTCTCTGCTTAGAAAGGGACATGGATGCTGGGGGTAAAAGGGTCATTTCCAGGCCGGCTCCTCCTCTCTCTGCAGGGGGTGCCTCTCTTGCCCCCCTCATTCCTCATGGCACCATTTTCTAAAACTCCCACAGCTCCCACTGATAGGGACCTGGGCTCAGCCCACCTCTCCCCAACTTCTCTCAGGCTGCCTCCTCGATACCCCAAGGACTGAGCTCCAGAACTCCAGTGTCTAGAAGTCAGGGTGATGTGGAGGAACCAGCGAGACAAACAAGCAGAGACAGCGGTGAGCTGGGAGGATGGCCAGGCAAGTGTGGCGTCCAGAAGCGTCTACAGAAAAAGGAGTGATCATCCGGCCTGACCCCACTGAGGGTCAGATAAGGTGAAGCCTGAGACATGGCCATTGGATCAGGAGAGAACTTTGATGAGCAGCTCTGAGAACTGATGAGATTGGGGTCATGAGGCAATGGTGGGGCACCCCAACTGATTCAGACAAGACACCTGACAAAATTCACCCTTTTGTGATAAAAACATTCCGCAAACTACAGGGTCTTAACAAAGGCCATCTGAAGCAAGCATCATGCTCGAGGAAACACTGAAAACTTTCCCCCCGAGATCGGTGCTTTCCCCACTTCCGTTCGCACGTTACTGAATGTTCCAGCCAGAGCGGTTGGGCAAGAAAGAAAATGCGTGCAAATTGGAAAGGAAGTAAAACTGTTTTTGTTTGAAGATGACATCATCTTATATGTAGAAGATTATCTGAAGGTTCCAGGAGGAGGCCGCCTGCCCTTTCTCAGAGACCTCAAGCAGGCCCAGGGGAGGGAGCCCCTTCCCCTGAGCGGGGGTCTGCCATCCTGGGAAGAGGCACCTCCTTGTGCCAACTGAAGCTCTGCTGTTAACTGAAGCCCTTCCTTCTTGTTCTGCCCTCCAGAGACTTGCTCAAAGGATCGGCGTCTTTAAATTAAACTCTGACAGCTTCAAGATAACTGTGGTCCCCTGGGTCACTTACTACTTTCTGTAAACAAGCATCTTAAAGCATCTTGTGCCGGGGGTCACGTGGGCACTTGGGGAGCCATCTGTGCTTCCCAGGTTGGGACGCTTTCCGAGGGGGTTGGGCTTCGTTACGTGGGGGTCTCGTTCAGGACACCCAGCCCCTCCCTCAGGCTGTAACCCCACTGCACGTATTCTGGCAGAGGCATGCATATGTGTTGGTTGAATGATGGTTATTTTGTGTGTTGTTTATATGACATTCGGGTGGTGAGGTGGACTGTAAAGTCAAAAACCCTCAATCCTGGGGGTTCTTGCCCCAAATGCCTGCCTTCCTGGCATACAGGTATTTAACAAATGCTTACGGCATGAAAGGTGATTTTTCCTTCTGCTGGGAATATCACGCGGGAGATGACCCAGAGAGAAGGGTGTAGTCACTCCCCACGTGCAGCCTAGAGCCTGCGTGCTGCTGGTCTCCCATGCTGCAAATGGGAGAAAGGACGCTTTCTTTGAGGTTGATATGAGAGGAAGGACACCGTCCAGGG